AAAGAACTTTGAAGTCAACTCTGTTTCAATTCCAATTCTACACAACTTTTTCCAGATTCTTTTGGGAAAGGGAATGTTTTGAAATTGCTATCATTTATATATGTTTTGGACAGGCCCTGCGCATCTGGTGTCTGCCAACCCACATGGTGTAGATGGTGTCCGAATATCTGCACTATAGAGATGTTAAAATGAAGGTAAAAGTAGACACAATCGCTTCCACAATCCATGTGTCGTTTTGAAAAGTGTCAGAGTTTGAAGAACTTATTGCCAGTTTTGTAATCAGAATCGTCACAACATAGCTTTCAATTACTGACGAGACTACCTGTTTACGCTTCCCCCAGAAAAGAAGCATGACTCAGAGAGAACTAAGAGCACATCAAGAGAAACGAAAGCTTTGCTCCAGCTCTCCGAGAAAATCTCTCTCTCTCTCTCTCTCTCTCTCTCTCTCTCTCTCTCTCTCTCTCTCTCTCTCTCTCTCTCTCTCTCTCTCTCTCTCTCTCTCTNTCTCTCTCTCTCTCTCTCTCTCTCTCTCTCTCTCTCTCTGTGTGTGTGTGTGTGTGTGTGTGTGTGTGTGTGTGTGTGTGTGTGTGTGTGCATGCCCCCCTTCCCTTCCTCATGGCCCTCTTACCTTGCAAAAAATCTCATGCTGCATGTGCCAAAATATATGCAGCGGCCCTCGCCATGCATTTTCCCCATCCACGGCCCACTCTCTATCTCTCCTCCTCCTTCCACCCACCCCCACACATTCACTTCCATGGGCACAAACCAGGTACACTGCCGGCAATATAATAGAAGGTGCAAGGTTCCCCACGTTTGTGTGGTTGGGCGGGAAGTGTCCACACACCCGTCCGCCGCTGAAGCAGCACAGTTGCACAGATATATATAGTTTTTTCGATCTATAAAAAAGGTGAAGGGCAAAAGGCCACATACCTAACACAGAAGGCTCCACCAGCAAGAGAGCACCGACCAGACCCACCAATAGTCCGAAAAAAATTGGAGAGCCCTCCGAGTTGGCCCACAAACACAACAGCACTGGCATTGCTATTCATCCCAAACAACCCACTCAGGTCACCACCATCTCTATCAGTCCATGGCTAGACTTTCCCCATCTGCTATCTAGCCTCTGGAGTGTATAGAGTACCGTAATCCCAAAGCCCAAGATCTTCATGCGACACCAGGAGCACTACTTCTTAAAACAACCTGGAATTCCCCGTTTCTTCCATGTGCTCCAAAAGAGCAGCCCAAGGGAATGACACACTCTCTGAGCCTCCTCGCAAAGCTACTGTGGCCAGAACTCCAAGCATACATTCCCACACCAAAAACCTTGTGGCCACCCACAGACATTCCTTGTGTGTGTGTTTTTTGAATTTCCACCACCACAGCCCTTATTCCACCCAGACGAGTAGATTCGAGTTGAGCCAGCCAAACAATTGAAGAATTCACCTCTTTAGCAAGCAACATCGATCATAATAGAACCATTTAGAACCAGTGATTGCTGGCAGCAGCATCCGGTGGTTGTCCTGACAGGATAGGCCACCTTCCCTACCCTTCCCAACGTTAATGCTCCCAGCGCACCCCCTATCCCTACTATCCTACCTCAGTGTCAGGACCATCGCCCTACCAGTATCGAGGGCAGTCACCAGACAGCAGTGACAAGCACCCCCTAACACTATAACCCCCACCCTTCTTTTCAAAGTTTTTGGGTGGGAAGCACCGTCCCTACCCTGCCACTAACACCCCAGTGTGACCAGCTCTCAGGACCATCACCCTACCAGTATCAAGGGCAACTCGGACGAAGCACCCCCTAACACTACAACCCCTACCCCCCTTTTCGAAGTTTTTGGGTGGGAAGTACCGTCCCTACCCTGCCACTAACACCCCCACCCTCCTCTTCAAAGTTCTTGGGCAGAACGTCAACGTTTGCAGAAAGCCAGGTACGTTGTTGTCAATGTCTGCTGAAGCCCGTGCTGGAACCCCACCACTAACACCCTCACCATAAACCCCCCAACCCCCGACCCTCAACCCCTGAAATACCCCTCCCCCAACCCCCCAACCCCCCAACCCCCCAAACGAAACTTCT